TTCTGAGTTGAATGAGGGGACATTGTGATTGTACTTCTATCTTGGGCACTAAAAGGATGAGCCAAGCTGCAGCATTAAGAATAGATGTGAGAATGGCCAGAATACAGCCAGGATTATAATGTTAGGAAACTGATGCAGCAAACCCAAGGGAGAGGAGGGAGTTCAGGCCATGGATGCAGAAGGCAGAGATAGGGCTGGCAGAGCTCTGGTGATGCTGTGAAGGGAAAGCTGACAAACTGACGAACTGACGAAAGCTGACGAACTGAACGTGGGCCAGTGAAATCAAGAGTGGCATCCCCAGATTTTTACCTGGGCATTTGAGAGAATGTAGAATGTAGTTGTCACCCACTCAGATGTAGAAGCCTGTGTGTGTGTGTGTGTTCACTAGGCAAAGAGTTGGGGTAAAACTTTAGGGTAAAGTTTTAGGTATGTTGACTTTAACGTGTATTTTGATGACAAGTGGAGAGTTGAGTAGAGAAGTCTGCATTCAGGAGAAAAGATGGAGGAGAAAGTAGAAGGATAATCAGGAAATGGATGTGATTTAGAACATTTTACTGGTAATGAATCAGAATTACAGAAAAAACATTAGAGACCTTTCAGGAATTGGGAAGGGAAGAAGGACAGTCATACCAGGAGATGCACAAAGTTTTTGTTGTTGTTTTTTTTCATAGGTATTTCTTTTTTTAATTTTTATTAAATTTTATTAGGGTGACATTGGTTAATAAAATTATATAGTATACAATTCTATAATTTATTAGATATACATTGTATTGTGGGTTCAGGGATTTCTGATGTTAGGAAATCATATGTAAGATTATATTTAGCAATTAGGGTAACTCAGATCATGGTAATTGGCATATGTATAGTTACAATTTGCATTCCATCTACTTACTAGTAAACTTAGATATCCTTGATCAGGTTGAACATACCGTGAGTAGAAGATCTCTTTTTCCAAGAAATAAGATGGAGAGAGTCTTTAGAGAATGGCCTCATTGAACTGGTAACTTAGTTCCTCTGGATTTTGGTGATTTCCCCAGTTCTTCCGTAATTCCTCAGTGCTCTGGCCATTTTCTGGTAAGTCATGGTCTTTTCTTTTGCCCCAAAGTTGGGCAATTTTTTTTAAAATACAAACTGAAAGATGCCTTTGGTTTTATCTATCCACTGAATACAGGATATCATCTCGGGATTACAGAGATTCATGAAGGTATTCAAATAGTAAGAGCTTCTTCCTGCCTTTTCCTCCCTTTTGCTGGAGAACAGGAGGTTGTACCAGCTGGTTTTCAGGGATGTTCTGCAGAGATTGATGAATATTCCCTTCAAGACAGAGGTCCACAGGATGGTTTATTACTGTTTTCCAGTTATAGACAGGTTGCTCTGGAGGCAGCGCACCATAGTAGCTGGGATTTCCTCGGACATGAGAACAGTGGTTGATGAAATGCATGCACTCTTAGCGATCTGGTGGGTACTGAAGATCTCCAGTTGAATGTTGCCTCAGTACGTCAAAAGCATCTTCAAATGCTTGGCCCAGCCTATCTTGTTCGACACAAGCCCTACTTCTTATTAACTTGGCAATTCTGTAAACTGCTTGAAGTTGCTGCATTTGCCGAGGGCATCCATTTTCTTCTTTGGCTTGAAGGTTTCTTTGCGATAGTTTCCAGTAGCTCTGATAGAAACTATGGGTGCTCCGTTCACCTACGAATGTTTCATTCTCAGCCCATCCACCTTACCTGTTCTTCAGAATCCAATCTAGCATCCACAGGTACCAGGTGGAAATCACCTGCTCCTCTGAAACACGAGCCTGCATCACCCTCTGCACAAAGTTTTGTGGTTCTTGGAATGCAAGGGATGAAGAAAGGCTTAAGTTGGTTTAATGAATAAAATAAATCATAAAATGCACAATGAGATGACAAGATTTAAGGGCGACAGTGGAGACCAGACTCTGGCTGTGAGGCTGAGGTGGAATTTCTGGGACTCCCTTTGAATTGGCAGTAGGTCTATGCTGGTGATCTCCTTCCAACCCATTAGGCTTCCTTGCCTGATGGGTAGAGCACCCAAGAATGTGGGCTTTCAGACCAATGATTCTGCACTGCCCCATCCCCATGAAGGTGCTGTGCGGCTGAATGTATGTTCTCTATCATGACTCCTGTCTCCCAGTACTGGCTTTCCCATGACTCAAGCATTCAGGTGATGACCCCAGATGATGGGGAGGTGTGGGCTGAGACCCAGAGCATGTGGCTCTTCCCCATGCAGATTATGTGTGGACAGACCTAGCGCGTGCAGGGTCTTTAAATTGCAACAAGACAGAAGTAAGGGTATATTATTGTCAGCTCTGTGTGAATTATGTTTTGTTGTTAATCCTCACCCAAGAATATATTTCCATTTATCTGTTTTTAGAGAGAGTGGAAGAGAGAGGGAAATACAGAGAGAAACGTCAATGTGAGAGAAACACATTTATTGGTTGCCTCTTGCATGTGCCCTGACCAGCACCTGGGCCAGGGAGGAGCCTGCAACTGAGGTACGTGCCCTTGACTGGAATTGAACCCAGGACTTTGGTCTACAGGCCGATGCTCTATTCACTGAGCCAATCGGCTAGGACTGTTTGCAAATGAGAGCTGGAGAGTAAAAATGTTTGCTAAATCTAGCAAATGTGAATGTAGAAATCTAAGGTTAATCAAGGATTCATCAATAAGTAAAGTAAATCAATCTGAAAATAGAGTTTGAAAATAAGCTTGCTCCATTTCTGAAGTTCCTCCAAATGCAAAAAGTCTAGAAAATAATGTTTCAAAGCCTAAAAAGAAAACTGTTAATAATGTTATTGGAAAGTAAGTGAAAGATTTTAGTTTTAAAAAATCTCCCGGAAGACATAAACACCGTAAAATCCCAGGTCCCAGAGTTAAAGAGGAGGATTGAAGTTTTGGCAAAATTATTAACATAATGTTAAGAAAATTTGAATTAATAATTTTAGCATCTAAACATTTAGCATTTAACAATTGGTTAGCAATTATTTATTAGATACAGACACATAAAAACATAGTGGCAAAGTTAGCCTTCAATGACAAACATTTTTTTTGGAACATACAGAATATACTTCAAAAATAAGCCAATTATTTTTATTTCTTCATCATCATCATCATCAACATCATCTTTACATTGAATTTAAGTATCAAAGTTGAATTTTAACTAATCATATCAATCATGATCTTAAATACTTACCATAACATTGTGAAGTCAATATCATTGTTCCACGTATAGAAACTGTGTTAAGTAACTGATACTGAATGGTTAAATGTTTGAGCTCTTATGACTAGTAAAGGACAAGGTCAAAGAACTAGTTGAATCAAAATTCTGAGAAATTCCTACTCTAAAATATATTCCAACAATGAAGGAAAAAATTGCAATCCCAGAGGATATGGTGTGGGTTCTGTGATATTAGATTCGGAGGAAAGAATTTCATAATCTTCAAAAACCAGTCCCAGATTGTAAATCTTGAAAGTAATTAGTCATGGCAATTGTAAATACACACACACACACACACATACACACACACACACACACACACACACACTGAGTGGCCAGATTACTATGACCACCCCATCAGTACTTTGTTGGGCCACCATTTGCCTTCAATACTGCGGCGATTCTTCTTGGCATTGACTCCACGAGATGTTGAAAGCTGATGTGAGGAATCTGACACCGTGCCTGATGAATAGCACTATCCAGTTCTGTGAGATTTGATGGTTGTGGAACCAGCTGCTTGATGACTCTTTTAACTTTGTCCCACAAATGCTCAATTGGATTGAGATCTGGTGATTGTGGGGGCCACCTAAGCAAGGTAAAGTCTCCCTCATGTTCTTGAAACCACTTCTTGCAAAATACGAGCACTGTGGCATGGCACATTGTCTTGTTGGAAGAAGCCATCTCCATTGGGATATGCCATCAACATGATAGGATGAAGTTGATCAGCAACGATACTTAGGTATGTTGTGCTATTTAGATGTTTATAATGATCTGGCCCTCTAGCAACTTCAGCAGGAAATTATAGCTAATTTGCCTACAAACATCAGGTGGTCATAATAATCTGGCCACTCAGTGTGTGTGTGTGTGTGTGTATTAGAGGCCCAGTGCACGAAATTCATGCATGAGGAGGGGGGTGGTCCCTCAGCCCAGCCTGCACCCTCTCCAATCTGGGACCCCTCAGGGGATGTCTGACTGTCTCTTGCAATCCCAGACCACTGGCTCCTAACTGCTCACCTGCCTTCCTGCCTTATTGCCCCTAACCTCTCTGCCTGCCTGCCTGATCACCCCTAACTGCTCCCCTACCGGCTTGATCGCCCCTAACTGCTCCCCTGATGGCCTGGTAGCCTCTAACCGCCTCTGCCTTGCCCTGCACCCAGGACCCAGGATTCCCTCTTCTGGCCAGCTGCAGGCACCCAGGACCCGGGTCAGCTTCGCCTGGGCCAGCTGCAGCCACAGGGGACCGTGGGTGGGTGACTTCACCTGGGCTGCAGCCACAGGTGCCCGGGACCATGGGGGGGGGTGTGGCTTGTCCCTCTCCCAGGCTGCAGCCCCATACGCTGGTGCCTGGGACTGTGGGGCATGTGGCTTTTCCCTCTCCTGGGCCACAGGCACAGGCGCAGCCACTGACGTCTGGGACCATAGGGCAGGTGGCTTGTCCATCTCCTGGGCTGCAGGTGCAGGCACAGGTGCTGGCGTCTGGGACCATGGGGCGGGTGGCTTGTCCCTCTCCCAGGCTGCAGCCTGGCTGAACCCCATTCCTCTCTCGCGAGCTCATTTGTGCCTGGCTGGTCGCCATTCCTCTCTTGCAAGCTCATTTGTTCCTGGCTGTTTCCCATTCCTCTCTTGTGAGCTCATTTGGGCCTGGCTGGTCCCCATTCCTCTCTCCCCAGTGTTGAGTGTCTGAGCCATTCAGGCGTGACGGCCTGAGGGCGTGATGACCATTAGCATATTAACTCTTTATTATATAGGATATATACATATATATATATATATATATATATATATATATATATATATATATATATGGAAGAATATGGGAGATGAAATAATAATAGGTATCATGCAAAAAAAGAAGAAAGAGGAAGAGAGGGAGAGAAATAGAGTGAAAGATACAGAGACAAAGCAAGAAAAAAGAGAGAGGAAATGAGAGAGGAGAAGAAAAATGAAGAGAAGAAAGACAATTATGAATCTGATGCTATAATGATATTGGACAGTTCTCAATCAATTTAAGAACTGCCATTTCTACTTCTAGTCAAGATGGCAGCATAGGTAAACGAGGTACTTGAATCCTCACACAACCACATCAAAATTACAACTACAGAACAACCATCATTCAGAACTGCCTGAAATCTAGCTAAATGAAAGTCCTACAATCAGGGATTTAAGGAAGAAGCCATACCAAGATTGGTAGAAGGGGTGGAGATGTAGAACAGGCTGGTCCTACATCCATGTGTGATGCTTTAAGGTTGGGAGACATATCTTGGCTATGGAAGTCCCTCTGGAGGAGCAAGGGGTCCCAGTCCCACACCACACCTTCCAGCCTAGGGATCCAGGGCCAGGAAGAGAAATTACCCATAACTTCTGGCTGTAAAAACCAGCAGAGATTGTGGCTGAATGAAATGGAGAGCTGCTGAAGTCCAGGCAGTTCCTCTGAAAGGGCCCATGCACAGACTTACTTGGACTCACTCCCTCTGAGATCCAGTGGAGCAGCAGTTTGAAAGGAACCAGGAACATACAGGGAGGAACTGAATTGTTCAGCATCAGGGTGAGAGCTGGGGAAGGCAACTTTCTGCTAGAAAAAAGGCTGGCAGAGGCCAATGTTCCTTTTCTGAGCCCTCCCCCCACAGACCCAGCAGGTGTGTGCCATATCTAAGTCTCCATCAACCTGGCTCACACTGTTCACCCCATCATACTGATTCCCTGAGACACCCTCCACCCCCAAATTGTGGGCCCACCCATTTCTATATGAATAGCCTCTTTTGCCTCATGCTTAGGACTTTCCCAAAATCTCTCAAACAAGTAGAATCTGGCCTCTGCATACCTTGTACCTCTTCCCAAGAGGCTCCACACCTGGCACTAATGGCAGTCAGGCTTGGTTTGCAGATTGGCTTCTCCTGGGCACCTCTAGGCCCAGTACAAGTAGAAACCATTTGCAGATCACTCTGTGGCTTGTGCTAGGTGACCCCAGGCAAGGTACCCAGTCCCACACCACACCTTCCAGCCCAGGGATCCAGGGCCAGGAAGAGAAGTTCCCCAGTACTGACCTAGTACCTCTCAGGAGGCCCCAGAGCCAGTGGACAGCTTCAGACCATGCTAGATTAAAACCCTACCACCTCCATGAGCTATACACTAAAGGAGAAGACTTGGTGAGCTCCAAAGCTCCACCGAAGCAAGTTCTATGCCATACAGTTGAATCCTGCACAGCAACTCCTCTGCTGTAGTCACAGTTGGTCCTCACAGTCAATATCACCACCATGAAATGTTAAAGGGTCTTCTTTAAGAAGAACAAGAAAGAAAGAAAGAAAAAGATAAAATATATGAATAATAAAATGCCAATAAATACATATCTATTAACAATGTAATCTAAAAAAATAAATAAATAAGCAAGCAGAACAGAAACAGACTCGTAGATATAGAGAACATTTTGACAGTTGCCAGATGGAAGGGGGTTAAAGGGATGGTTGAAAAAGGTGAGGGGATGGAAAAGTACAAATTCATTGTTATAGAATAGTCATGGGGACGTAAGGAACAGCATGGAGAATATAGTCAATAATATTCTAATAACTACTTATGGTTTCAGATGGGTATGAGATTTATCAGGATGACTGTTCAGTAAGTTATAGAATGTCTAATCACTAGGGTATACACCTGAAATTAATATATCTTATGTCAATGGTAATTGAAAAAATAAATTGTTGAAAAAGAACTGCCATTTCTAATTGTTAATACATGGAAGACATGAGTTGAAAGGAATGAGGGAATGAGAAATTATAATGAATATGTAAATATATTTAATACAAAATTCATTTTAAAAGATTCCTCAAGAAAGCATGTGGAGCCATCTTGATGAAAAGTGATGGGAATATTCCATTTCTAATATTATTATATTTCAATTTCACAATGCTCTTCCAAATGCAAATAATTCATACGTTGTCTTTTGTCCCTGTGGGAAATTTTCTATAGCAGCAATGACTAAAGTGCTGTCCTAAATGGGGACATTTGTTTAGGCCTCGCATTTGTATTTCCTCCACTCTGCTCCAGGAAACTGCTACACTTGGAGTGTATCTCCAGACAGAATATTAGGAATGGTCATCTCTAATGTTGGAAGCAGGATTAGGATGACTGCTGGATACACTATTTCCTGACTCTGCTTCTGTCATAGGTGGCAGGACAAGAGGATTTGTGTCACAGATGAAAAAGTAAGGTCGGAGAACACCATTGAACAGTTGGCTGAATGTGTAGATGTAAGACCCATTTGTGATGTCATAAAAGGAGATTTCACCTGCTTCATAGTCCAAGAAAATCCCAATGCGACGAGGCCGCTCTAGGTGGAGGAGAGGCACGGATGGGGAGGCAAGGACCATGTACTCATTCTCTTTCAGCAGCCACATGGCCCACACTCCGTTCTCGGGAGATGGTGTAGTTTCCCCCTTTCTTGGCACTGTGTCTTGAGAGACTCCTAAACCCCACTCTGCCCTTTCTCCCACCATGACTTCCCAGTAATGCCTTCCTGATGAGAAGTTCTGCAGACCCAGGATGCAGGGCCACGTGTCAAATCGCTCGGGGTTGTTGGGGACGTCCCTCCACAGTTCTCCGTCCTGCACACTGCGCAGGTCAGCAGTCAAGAGGAGGCTAGGATGTGCTGTGGCCGGGTCCAGCTTTACATCAACTGTGGAAAAAATTTTGTGGGAGATGGAAAAGGCTGGTAAACACATAGGAATCCATTATACCAAAGAGAATAATCACATCATTCCTCATTCTCTAACAACTGCTAGAGAAAGCACAGTATTTCATCTTGCAGGTCACTGAGAATATTCTTCATTACATTTGAGTGTATTCCACTGCTACTCTGAATCCAGGGCTCATTATTGCCCCCACTGAAAACAACCACTGATGCTATAACAAAATAAGTGCATAACCACTTAGCATCCTTTTCTCTACACCCAAAGCACTTGGGTGCTCTTCGGAATATCTTTGTGAATTTAAAATAAAATTTAAAAACTACTTGGAATATATAAAATTTCTTCTAAGAAACTATACGAAAGTTTAATATAAAAATCATCACTTTCAAAGCTATGTTAGGTGGAATTCTGAGGTAGAACCCACGACCTCCATACTCTGGTGATACTCAAGAGGGAGATTATCTGGGTGGGCCCAATATAACCACATCAACCTCTTAAAAAATCAGAGCGGCTGCTCTGGATATTGGGCTCCTGCCAGAAAAAGGCAGAGATATTTGCATCTGATCTGGCTTTGCTGGCTTTGAAGATGGAGGGGCACCCCATGAGGAGAAAGGCAGTTGACCTCCAACTGGCAGTCAGCAAGGAAATGGGGATCTCAGCCCTATAACTGCCCCGAAATGCATTATGCTAAGGCCCTAAGGAAGGCTGGAAGATATTCTTCCCAGATCTTTCACAGAAGCCTCACCTGGCCAACAACTTGATTTTGATCTTGTGAAACCCTAAGCAGAGAAGCCAGCTCACCCCATCTGGAAGTCTTATCTGCAGAACGTTGAGCTAATAAATGCATGTGGCTTTGAGTAACTAAGTCTGGGGCAGCAATAGGACACAAATACTGACACTGGGAAGTTCCAATGAGATTGATGTGAAATTTTACTTGTACACACAATAAGCAAATCTACATATGAAATCTCGGTGAAGAAATAAGCATGTAAAATATTCAGTGTTTTCTCTTTATAAATAATTAAAAAAGTGAATTTCATTAATACAGTTTTATTTTTAATATCACAATTAACAAATATTACGACTGTGATTGCTATTCTTTGTCTCTAAGTCACTAATAGTGATTTTTTAAAATACTCACACCTGAGTGTGTCACACAGGGAGCATACCATCTAGTTGACCCATGAAACCACTCCAGGTGGCCATTATCATCCCCACATTACGATGACAAGACTCAGTCAAAGACTTCATGTGATTATTTTCTCAAACTCTAGAAACTATAAATAGCAGGGCTTGAAAGTGGGTCTCCGTGGATTGTTAAGCCTATTTAACATGTTATGTCTTTCACATCATTCCTGCTCCAGCAGCCTCCTCTGTTCCATTGATAAGGAAAGATATCTGTGCGGTGGTTTTTAATACAGTCAGGCTTCCTCTTTTTACCCTTTCCATCTTAAACTCAATCACTCACAATGATAGAACTGTACCCTAACTCAGTGGTTCTCAACCTTCCTAACGCCGCAACCCTTTAACACAGCTCCTCATGTTGTGGTGGCCCCCAATTTCATTGTTACAAATTGAACATAATTAAAGCATAGTGACTAATCGCAAAAATAATATGTAATTATATATGTGTTTTCTGATGGTCTTAGGCGACCCCTGTGAAAGGGTCATTCGACCCCCAAAGGGGTCGCGACCCACAGGTTGAGAACCGCTGCCTTAACTGCTCATGTCCATCTTCCCAGTGACCTCTAAAACGGTGAATATATGGAGATCTTAAATGCCCTTTCTATAGCACTCAACACTGTTGAGAAAACATTTGTACAAGAAAACCTGCATTCTCTTTACCAAAAGGCAGTCATCATGCTTTCCCTCCCTCTCTACTCCCAACCCCTTCACAGTAACCACCATTGGAAAAGCCAATGATCCAGGACTGGGACTTCTCTCTTTCTCATCTCACTTCCATGTGGTTTTGGCCTGGCTGGCTCAGTCCTTTAATTAAATTGCAATCATATGCTTGCTAATTCTAAATGTATAGCTCCAGCCTAGACCCTTCTCCTGACACTCCATATCTGTAAATTCATCTGATGGCCTGACATCCATATTTGGATACTTAACATTCTTCACACATTGATATGTCCAAAACCCAACTCCTCCCTACAAATCTGCAATTGTACCATCAATGGAAATGGCAAGTTCACTGTCAATGAAGAATTAAATCTGGAAACCACTCATAAGTCTTCTTTTTCTCTGACATCTCATGTCTAATTGAGCAGCATATCTTCCAAGCTCTATCTTCAAAATATGCCAAAATCATGTCCATTTCTCAGCACCCCCAGTACCAGTCCATAATCAACTCTGATTGAAGTATTGCAAAGATTCTAACTGCTTTTCCCACTTCAAGACTTTCCCCTCTCTAAGTGATTCTCAGTAAAGCATACTATTCCTCTGCTTACAATTGTTCACTGATTCCCTAGTTCACTTAGAGGTAAAGCATCTGGATCAGTGGTCTAATTACTGTCCTTCTGACTCTGCCACTGTGGTACAGGCCTCCTCACAGGTCCTAAAAGACATCATCTATCATACTTCCTTCTCTGGAAGGCTCGCCTCTAGATCAGATGTTAGCTGAGTTATTTCCTACTGGGTCAGGCCTTCCTCCATCACAAAATTCAAAAGTAGATGCCCTACCCCCAGAACTTCTGGTCACCCTTACTTTTCTCCTTGTTTTCAATATTCTGTATCATCTTCTAACATTTCCTGTATATTGAAAAATTTAAGTAAATATTAGCAACATGAAGCTGGGATTTGTAGCATTTTTGTTGTTCACTGACATATTTCAATGCTTAGGAAAGTAGCTGGCATATCTGTTGAACTAATTAATTGATTACTTCAGTCTGTAAATAGCATTGGGAATATGAGGACATGAATTCTGAGAGTGTAATGATTGTAAGAATTTATGCAATTGATATATATAAATCTGCCTATCAAAACACAGGTTAAATCATTGAATGTCACTGCTAAAGAGGGGGCTGGGGTTTTGGGGGGGGCGGTTGGAGCATAACATAGCTTTATTTTTTATAATAAAAATTTCAAATAATATTAAAAATATAAAGAATAAAGTAAAAATCACAATAAATCCCATCTCTCATAGATAAGCATTATTATACTTCTGTGTATATGTATTTTGCATAAATGGAATTCATTTTATATAATTTTATATTTTTATAGCTTTCTTCCTTCATTCAATATGTTCTATTTTCTATGATCCAGGAATATCTATGTCTTTTTTTCCCTCTTTATTGAATACATTGGGTGACACTGGTTAACAAAATTATACAGGCTTCAGGTGCACAATTCTACAACACATTATCTGTACACTATATTGTGTGTTCACCACCCCAAGTCAAATCTCAGTCCATCACTATTTATCTTCCCTATACCCTCCTCTAGCTCTCCCTCCCCCATCTCCTCCCCAGCAATCACTATGGGACAAGGCTGTTTCCAATTAAGTAGTGAAACCACTATCTAGTCATAATGTATTTTCATTATTGGTATAAGTTGTATTTAAAAAGAATTTTAAAAATTAAATCTGGCCTGGCCAGTTTTCTCAGTGGTTAGGGTGGCAGCCCTCAGACCAGCATGTCTCGGGTTCAAGGGCACATACCTCAGTTACAGGGTTGCAGGTTCAATCCCCAACCCCAGTCAGGGTGCAAGCAGGAGGCAACCAATCGATGTGTCTCTTTCATATCGATGTTTTTTTTTTTCTCTCTCTCTCTCCCTCCCGCTCTCTCCCACGCTCTAAAAATCAATGAAAAAAAATATCCTCATTTGGGTGAGGATTTTTTAAAAAATAAAAATTGAATCTGTATTGTAAAGAATAACATAATCAGGCCAAACCAACTAATTTATGACACTATGGTTTTCCTACCTAAAAATAATTGACTAAATATTTTTTACTTTATTAATTCTCTAACTTAAGCAACTCATCAAATTGACGGATAATAAAATAAGCCAAACTTATTATTCGAACCTCTGCAATGCTTTTATATTGATTTTTTTCTGTCTTTAAATATGTTTCATCTAGTCCTTCAAATTTTACTGTTTTAGTATTTTATAAATAAGAAAATGCAGATTTATTGGAACAAATGTTACTCCCATCACAGCTACTGAGCCACTATTTTAACCAAATGCAGCGTATATATTGGCATCAAGACTGTTCACCACATTCCCGTCTTCTTCCCTCTGGGCACGGTGCTGTCTCCCATCCCCTTACAGCCTGGCATTGCCATGGGACACATTTTCATGAATAACATCGTTGGGGAAGCCACGTGCACTACCTCAGCATGTGTACCTTCAGGAGCAGTGCCTGGTTCACCATAACCTCGCCCTCTACATGGCTACCAGCAATACAAAGGAGGTGGGCTCTGTCTGCAAGGGCCCCAGAATGAGATGATGTGAAACCAAACCCTCGATAATCCTATATAATAAAAGCCTAATATGCAAATAGACCGAATGGTGGAACGACCGGTCTCTATGACGTGCACTGACCACCAGGGAGCAAACACTCAACGCAGGAGCTGCCCCCAGCCCACAGGCCCCAGGCCAGCCAAAGCAGGTGCCAGTGGGGGTCCCCTGATTGCTCCGCAGAGGGAGGCAACCAGCAGTGGCAGGGGACGGGGCCAGCAAGCAGGCAGCGCCAGGCCAGCCAAGGCAGTGCCAGCAGGGGCCCCCGATCACCCTGCCGGTCACCCACAGGGCGGCCCTGATCACCAGCCAAGCCTAGGGACCCTACCTGTGCACAAATTTTATGCACCGGGCCTCTAGTCCAGTAATAAACCAATAGCATGACCTCAAAATAAAACTGTGCTGACTTTAGTCACGAAACTTTGGGTTTTGCTTGTTACTGTACCTGACTGCTCCAGTAAGCAGCCAGACTCCAAACACCCTGTCCTCCAAACTCTAAGGTGCAACCCACCTTGGAACTTCCTCAACATTTCTCTCATCCCAGGGATTCGACACATGGTCTTCAGCTCCAGGGGGATGGTCTCCGGTTCCAGCTGTGTGACACTCTTACTTCTGAGAAGAGCACAGAACCCACAGTTTTTAACATCCACCAACCTCCTTGGCCTCTCCCAACCATGCTCTGCTTCAGAAAGTAAACATACCGGCTCAAGGTTCCTCTCACCCCCTGGAAATAAAAGAGAAATACAAGCAGGTGTGAGTTTGATATCAGAACTGCTTTTGACAAAATGGGGACAAACCATGAACATCTCTTTAGGAACTATTGGAAATCACTAACTATTATAAAGTATAGAAGACATGGATCTCTCTTAATAAAAAACATATATAAGCTATTATTGAATTTTCTCATGAATTTCAAATAATATAATCAGTTTCCCTCTATAAGAATAGAATATACAAAAGTTTAAGTTAATTCCTATGATATCTACCAATTTAACTATTTTCCAAATTGATAATTCTGACATTTGCATATTTTAATAAAGAGCTACGTTCTGCCACAAATGTATGTGGGGGGGAAGGGGAAGGGGAACGTCTGCAATAAAGTCAACATTAAAATTGTCAATAAAAAATATCTTAGATATCTACAGAATGTGTTTGAGAAAGTGAAAGGTATAGACAAAACGTTACTCTCAATGTCTCTGAAAGAAACCCCAATTCCTCATTCTCTGGACTCTTATGTGAACAGGTTCCCTAAGTGGATAAAGACAGAAGTCACCTAGCATCATTTTATTGCCAAACAGATTATTAAGTAAATCAACTGCACACATTTCTCCTCTCCCTCTAAAAACATTCACCTATCAGATTAATTTTTGTAAGTAGGAAATGACAGAGTTTACATTTATGGCAGACCTTGTTCTTGGCCATTGGATATAAAATGTAGTTTACTGATACGGGGGGGAAAGGGAAAGGTGAGGATGAAAATAAAAAGAAATTATTTGAATACATTCTCCTAAGATTTGCATTATAAATCATTTTAACATTTATTTGGTGCTAATGAATACTTATTTTATTTTTATTTTTTTAAAATATATTTTATTGATTTTTTACAGAGAGGAAGGGAGAGGGATAGAGAGTTAGAAACATCCAGGAGAGAGAAACATCCATCAGCTGCCTCCTGCACACCCCCTACTGGGGATGTGCCCACAACCAAGGTACATGCCCTTGGCTGGAATCGAACCTGGGACTCTTCAGTCCACAGGCCAACGCTCTAGCCACTGAGCCAAACTGTTCAGGGCATGAATGCTCATTTTCAATAGCTTGTATTTTGAGATATGATAAGACAATGAATGTTATTAAAAATGCTACAGTTCTGCTCTGGCTGGTGTGGCTCAGTTGGTTGAGTGTTGTCCTGTACACCGAAAGGTGGCAGGTTCAATTCCCAGTCAGGGCACCTATGCGGGTTTGATCCCTGCTGGGGCTGTAGGGGAAGCAACTCTCTCACATCAATGTCTCTCTCTCTCTCTCTCTCTCTCTCTCTCTCTCTCTCTCTCTCTCTCTCTCTCACACACACACACACACACACACACACACACATCAATAAAAAAAATCCTCAGGTGAGGATTTTTAAAAAATGCTGAAGTTCTTGTGTTTACCTACCGTTTAAAATTTAAATTAAAAAATCCTTTCTGACCTTCAGTGTGCTCACAAGGAAATAGGTATAGCAACAATAACAATAATAATTTTTATATAGAGATATTTTGAATACAAAATGGGTAAAATTAAATATAAATGTTTTGTAAATTCTTCATTTAATGGCCTCCACTGTGCTAAGTCACCATCCTTGTATGAGGATATGAATCACTTAGTTTAGAAATCTCTGAGTAAGTCAATGGGACGGAGATAGAATTCAGTCTGCCTGGGAACTTTCTATTACAGTGGTTCAGTCAGATGACAAGCATGCATCAAGGACGGCATTTCTGATGAACCAGGATTAATGCCTTCATGGGAGATAAAATGAACATCTCCTTCTCCCTGTTATTTGTCTATTCTATAATACCACACAGAATATGAGCAAACTGCACCAAGCTCTGTACTTGCACTGTGCCTGGAATAGGCATGCGATGTGGCTGTTTGCCTTAAGTTTTAATGTGAAAATCCCAATCTGGACAACTTAAAATTTATTTATGTGCTTGACTATTGCCCAAGACAGGTTACCAAAGACTTTCTGAATTGGCCATTACTGAATACAGTAATATTGCCATTGACAGATTGTAAGGTTTTAAAAAGTGTTTTTGCCCAACATAGTGTAGGCTGTCCTTCTGTTTAATGTTACACAAATGACAAAGTTAATTTTAAAAAAATATTTAGGTTTTTCTCTTCAATGTGAACTATTTTATAAGATTCTGGAGGATCCCCTGATTCTCCTGCGCTTCTGGTGAGCTCGAGGGTGTCCTCTCCGCGGGGTTGTGAGCGCTGCAGCCCCCTGAGACCTCACCTCCAGCAGATCCAAGGCCGGGAGCCGGCAGCGGTCCTCCAGCTCCTGCGCCAGCTCCCGCAGGGCCCGGCCGCGCTGCGCCAGCTGCCGCTGGCCTTCGCGCAGTCTCTGCAGCGTGGCGCGCTCCTCCTGCTCCAGCCGCCGCAGCTGCAGCTGCTCCTCCAGGGCCAGGAAGCCGCGGTACTTCTCGAACTCCAGCCTGAAGCGTTGTCTCTGAGTTTCCACTTTCTCCTGCAGGAAGAGGTGACTTCCATCACCAGGGCGGGCCCAGCGCCTGCTGCTGCCTTCCTGAGGCAGTGAGGCTAGAAAGGCCACGTCCTATGTGAGCGCAGCTCCCCCACTATGGGCACGCACTGGCTAATTTTAAAACACGCTGACACCTGGCTTGACGGAGCTTTCAAGCTGAGAGTTTAAGAAAGGCATGGATTTGGTCTTGGGGACAATGCACTTTTATATTCCAGTTTCAGCAATGCATACAAAATGTGGGGAAAGGAGTAAGGATATTAGAATTAAATGGCTATTATATATATTTTTAAAATATATTTTATTGATTTTTTACAGAGAGGAAGGGAGAGAGATAGAGAGTTAGAAACATCGATGAGAGAGAATCATCGATCAGCTGCCTCCTGCACATCTCCTACTGGGGATGTGCCCGCAACCCAGGTACATGCCCTTGACCGGAATCGAACCTGGGACCTCTCAGTCCGCAGGCCGACGCTCTATCCACTGAGCCAAACCGGTTTCGGCAGCTATTATATTATTGAGGAAACTCACTAACGTACCAGTTGAAATGTACTATTAGGGATCACTAGGAGGAGCCATGCGCAGAAACAGCAGGATCATTAAAAGAGATCAGAGACCTGGGTTTATAGATGTGAACGAGGAAAGGCTTGGAGATTAGAGAACCTGGATGTATCTTCTCAGTTCCACACCTGGAAGCCTGGGGCCAGCGCGCTCTGCAGGGTCCGGAAAGAGCTAAGCACTGACTGCAGACTCAACCTCAGGGATTTTGATTTCTACTCAAATCTCACTGCCATGATTTTTTAATATACCTAAGAAACATATTTTTTAAAAAAACATATTTTATTGATTTTTTACAGAGAAGAAGGGAGAGGGATAGAGAGTTAGAAAATCGATTAGAGAGAAACATTGATTCAGCTGCCTCCTGCACACCCCCCACTGGGGATGTGCCCGCAACCAAGGTACATGCCCTTGACCGGAATCAAACCTGGGACCCTTCAGTCCGCAGGCCGACGCTCTATCCACTGAGCCAAACCGGTCAGGGCATGAGAAACATATTTGATACAGCAGTATTATATCTAAACTGAGTGCAACAGGCAAATTTTTCTCCCACAGTCTCTCCACATTTTACATTCTCTGGCCCAGATTTAAACATGATCACATCTTGGTTTGCTTAAGGAGCATAAAATATCACCTTTAAGAAATTAATAATAGTTTTCCTCAAATCCCATAGAACTCAATTCCTCTCTCCAATTTCCCATCTCTACTTCCATCTACCTCTTTGTAAATGACTAGATTCATATAATACCTATTTAAATGAACCAACTCTGAATTTGATAATCTGATCTGTAACTCAGGTAATTCCTCCAGATGCTGGAGGCTATGAGGAGTGGAGCATGAGGGATGGTGTGGTGAGAGGGGGTTTGGCTGCAATGCATCTTTCCCTCATATTATCATTTTCAGTACCACAATTATATCTACATATATAAGAAGGAAAAGGGTTTTGTAGAATTTACAGTTCATCTTATCAAACCTGTGCTTGTCGCATTTGGCTCATAGGGATATATTCTCAATAATAAAGATCATGCAAATTTATTTGGCTTAGAACAGGAATCTTAGCATCATCTTTACTTTAGAATAACCAGTGTAGATCTTTTTAAAATGCAAGACCAAGATCTTGATATGGAGTTTCTAATTTTGTAAGTCTGCAGTTAGTTCAGGATTGAAAATATAAAATCATCAGATATCAAGTTATACTATTAAGCTACTCTACTCAAAATAGCCTGGTACTGGCACAAGAACAGGCATATAGATCAATGGAACAGAACAGAGATCCCAGAAAGCAACCCAAGCCATTACGCTCAGTTAATATTTGACAAAGAAGGCAAGACATACAATGGAGTCAAGAGAGTCTTTTCAATAAATGGCGCTGGGAAAATTAGACAGGTACATGCAAAGAAATGAAACTTGACAACCATCTTACATCATACACAAAAATAAACTCAAAATGAATAAAAGACTTAAATGTAAGTCATGAAACCATAAAAATCCAAAAAAGAAACCATAGGCAGCAAAATCTCAAACATCTCTCATAGCAATGTTTATGAATATATCTGCTAGGGCAAAGAAACTAAGGAGAAAACAAACAAATGGGACTACATCAAAATAAAAAGCTTCTGAACAGCAAAAGAAACCATCAACAAAATGAAAAGGGAGCCCACTATATGGGAGAAAATATTTGGCAATGATACATCTGATAAAGGGTTAATCTCCAAAATATATGGGGAAGTCATACAACTTAACAAAAGGAAGACAAACAATCCAATCCAATTAAAAAATGGGCAAAGGACCTAAATAGACTGCTGAGGCTAAAGCAAACAGTAGTTAGCATATTAATGCAAAAAGACCTGTTGGAAGGCCAATGGACTTTGATATTCAGCAGGGCTGAAAATCAGCATAATACTGCCCTGCTGTGGGCTCAATGGCTCATGGCAATTTCCTACCCTATACTCCTTATGCTGTTTACCAAACTTTACCTTTGATCTGCCTGTATGCATTGCTAAAGGATAAATGTGTATTCAAGTAAATAAAAAGCTGACTGGCCAGAAGTCAGGGTGCCTCTTCAAGAGAGAGGTCTCCACCTCCCCCCCCTCCCCGCCTTCTAAATTCATATTTCTTGTATAGCATTTTCATTTGTGCATCAGCCCCTCCTTCAGATCCTGAACCCCGCTGGGAAGGTTGTGGCAATAGACACTTCTCCAAAGCAGACATAAAGATGGCCAAGAGACATATGAAAAAATGCTCAAAGTCACTGATCATCAGAGATATGTAAATTAAAATGACAATGAGGTATCACTTCACAGCTGTCAGAATGTCTACCAACAACAAACCAACAAATGACAAGTGCTGGCAAGGATATGGAAAAAAGGGAACCCTAGTACACTGCTGGTGGGAATGCAGACTGGTTCAGGCACATGAAAAACAGTATGGAATTTCCTCAAAAAATTAAATATGGAACTGCCATTTACCCAGTGATCCCATTTCTAGGAATATACCCTAAGAAATATGAAACACCAATCAGAAAGAATGTATGCACCCCTATGTTCATAGCAGCACAATTTACAATAGCTAAGATATGGAAACAGCCTAAGTACTCATCAGTAGATGAATGGATAAAAAAGCTGTGGTACATTTATACCATGGAATACTATGCAGCAGTAAAATAAAATAAAAAAGGATATCTTACCCTTTGAGACAGCATGGAGGGACTTGGAAAGTATTATGCTAAGTGAAATAAGCCAGTCAGAGAAAGACAAGTATCACATGATTTCATTCATATGTGGAATCTAATTAACAAAATGAACTAATGAATGGAGTAGATCCAGAGACATGGAAGCATGGAACAGAGTGCAGAATCTCAGAGGGAAGGTGGGAAAGGGTGGGTGGATGGGAAAAGATCAATAGGGTGTGCAAGGCCTGTGGCAGGGGGACAGGAGGCTAGAAGGGATCTGTTGGGGAACAAAGGGGACATATGTAATACTTTTAAAAACAAAGATTTAAATTTTTTTAAAGACCCAAATGCAACAGTGTGGCCCATATAACTAACACAAAGGACATTCCAAGAGCACCCAGGTCAGAAGATCAAGGAGATTACTACACTGTGTCCGGCAAGAAGGCCATTCAACCAAGACAGGGTGGTACAGCAGTCTTATCCAATACAAAAAACACACACAATAAGTAGGGAAACAAAGTCACTGGCCACAAATGAAAGAAGAGGAGGAATCTCCAGAAAAAGGGCTAAGTGAAATGGAGGCAAGCAATTTATCAGATATAGAGTTCAAAGTAATGGTTATAAGGATGTTCAAACAACTTAGTGAGAACTACAGGAACTTAGTGGGAACAACATCAGCATGAAAAATGACATAGAAACTATGAATAGGAAAGAGTCAGAAATGAAGAATGACATAGCTCAAATAATGAATAGCCTGGAAGGAATTAACAGTAGGTTAGAAGAACCTGAGGATCAAATTAGTGAATTAGAAATCAAGGTAGAAAAAAAATCACTCAATTAGAGCAGCAAAAAGAAAAAATACTTAAAAAGCAAGAGGACAGTTTAGCAGGGGTGGGCAAACTTTTTGACTCGAGGGCCACAATGGGTTTTTAAACTGGACCGGAGGGCTGGAACAAAAGCATGGATGGAGTGTTTGTGTGAACTAATATAAATTCAAAGTAAACATCATTACATAAAAGAGTACGGTCTTTTTTTTTTTTAGTTTTATTCATTTCAAATGGGCCGGATCCGGCCCGCGGGCCATAGTTTGCCTATGGCTGGTTTAAGGGAACCGAGGGACAACACAAAATGCAGCAAAATCCACATCATAGGGGTACTAGGGAAAGAAGAAAGTGAGCAAGGGCTAGAGAACCTGTTTGATAAAATACTGACAGAAAATTTCCCTAACCTGGAAAAGGAAAAAGTCCCATAAGGTCAGGAAGCACAATGAGACCAATAAAAATGAACACAGAGAGACCCACAGCAAGACACATCATAATTAAAATAGCAAACTTTAAAGACAATGAATTTTATGGGCAACAAAATAGAGGCAGTTACCTACTAGATAGCTATATCTGATTTCTCAACTGAAACACTACCAGCTAGAAGGGAATGGCATGAAGTAGTTAAAGTAATGAAGAGCAAGAATCTAAAACCAAGAGTACTCTATCCAGCAAAGCTATCATTCACAATAGAAGGTGAAACAAAGAGCTTCCCAGACAAAAAAAAAAGAGTGTAAAGGAGTACATTACCACCAAACCAGCATTGCAAGAAATGCTAAAGGGACTATTGTAAAAAGAAGAAATAGAGTGAGAAGAACATGGGCATACAGAATAAAAATGGCAATAAATAAGTACCTATCAATAATAACCTTAAATGTAAATGGATCAAATGTTCCAACCAAAAGACACGGGATAGCTGAATGGATAAGACAGCATGACCCAACTACATGCTATCTACAAGAAACTCACCTCAGAACAAAAGACACACACCAATAATGAACTATCAGGAAGAGGAACTAAGAAAACAAGCCCATCTACTATTGTAACAACCACAAAAAAATAGGGTACTCAGGAGATAAAAGACCTGTGCCCAGATATTTCACCAAGGAGATAAAAGACCTGTACTCAGAAAACTATAGAACATTGAAGAAAGAAATTAAGCAAGATACAAATAAGTGGATGCACATACCATGTTCATGGATTGGAAAAATTAACATAATTAAAATGTCCATACTACCCAAAGCAATATATAAGTCCAACTCAATTCCTATTAAAATATCAATGGCATATTTCAAGATAAAAAAATATTCCAAAATTTATATGGAACCAAAAGACACTGAATAGCTGAAGTCATCTTGAGAAAGAAGAAAAAAGTTGGAGGTATCACATACCAAATTGCAAACTATGCTACAAGGCCATTTTGTAATCAAAATAGCCTGGTACTGGCATAAGAACAGGCATATAGATCAATGGAACAGGACAGATCCCAGAAATACACCCATGCTTTAATGGTCACATTTAGTATTTGACAAAGGAGGCAAGGGCATACAATGGACTAATGACAGTCTCTTCAATAAATGGTGTTGGAAAAATTGGACAGGTACACACAAAAGAAAGGAAGGAAGGAAGGAAGGAAGGAAGGAAGGAAGGAAGGAAGGAAGGAAGGAAGGAACGAACTAGACCACTAACTTACACCATACACCAGAATAAACTCCAAGTGGATAAAAGATTTCAATGTAAGTCATGAACCATAAGATCCTAGTAGAAAACATAGGCAGTAAAATCTCAGACATCTCTTGCAGCAATGTATTTGCTGATATGTCTCTGAGAACAAGGAAAACTCAGGAAAAAATAAACAAATGGGACTACAAAAAAACTAAAAAGCTTCCCCACAGTAAAAGAAACCATCAACAAAATGAAAAGAGAACCCACTGTATGGGAGAACATATTTGCCAATGATATATCTAAGGCGTTAATCTCCAAAATATATAAAGAACTTATACAAATCAACACTGGAAGACAAACAATCCAATTTTAAAAATGAGCAAAGGATCTGAATAGAAACTTTTCTAAAGAGGACATACAGATGGCAAATAGACATATGAAAAAAAAATGCTCAACATCACTAATCATCAGAGAGATGCAAATGAAAACTTCAGTGTATCACCTCATACCTTTTAGAATGTCAACTCTCAATACATCAACAAACAACAAGTACTGGTGAGGATATGGAGAAAAGGGAACCATAGGAAACTGTAGGTGGGAGTATGCACTGGTGAAGCCACTATGGAAAACAGTATGGAGTCTCCTCAAAAAATTTAAAATGGAACTGCCATTTGACCCAGTGATCCCACCTCTGGGAATATCCTAAGAATCCTGAAACACCCATCAGAAAGAATGTATGCACCTATGTTCATGGCAGCATTATTTACAATAGCCAAGATCTAGAAATAGCCCAAGTTCCCATCAGCAGATGAGTGGATTAAAAGAGCTATAAAAAAGAAGCATGGCTCAGCCTGGAAAGTATTATGCTAATCAAAATAAGGCAATCATAGAAAGTCAAATACCATATGATCTCACTTATATGTGAAATCTAATGAACAAAATAAACTGACGAACAAAATAGAACCGGAAGCATGGATACATTCAACTGACAAATGTCAGGGGGGAGGGGTTGGGATGAACTGGATAAAGATGGTGAAGGGATTAGCTAAAGAACATACCATATATGTATAGCCATGGACACAGACACTAGTGTGGTGAAGGCCAAGGGAAGGGGACACGGCGGGCTAGGTGGAGGTGGGCAACGGGGGAGGAAGGAGTGGGGGACATCTGCAATAGTGTCAACAACAAAAATTTGAAATTTAAAAAAGGAGGCTGGGAGAAAAACCAAGATGGTGGCATAGGTTAACGCCGGAGATTGCTGCCTCGAACAACCACTTCAAAAAACAACTAAAAGACGGAATGGACATCATCCAGAACCACAGGAAGGCTGGCTGAGTGGAAATTCTACAACTAGGAGGAAAGAGAATATCATACCCAGACTCAGAGGAGGCGCAGTGCTGAAGTGAAATACTGAGGTGCGGAGTGCGCGCGGAGCAGGCTGGCGGCGGAGGGCGTGGTTGTTGTTTTCAATCGGGAGGGAGTTTCAGACTCTGAGCTCCAGCTCCAGGCGAGTCTCTGGGGACCCAGACTCAAACGGGAGAAGCGGGACTGTCTGGCTTTGGTCGGAACTCGAAGACAGCTTTCTCTCCGAGGTTTGCAGCGGTTGCTGGGACTCTGTGAGGCAGAGCCCCTAGGGACGGAACTGAGAGCAGCCATAACTGCTCGCTCCGGCCCGCCCTGTAGATCCCCGGGGACCCGCCCCGCCCAAGCCCTGCGCAGAGCCATTTGCCAGATAGCCTCAGGCAAATGCTAGATTAGCACCGCCCTAGAGATCCAGCACAGAAGCTCTCCCACTGCAGACACAGTGGACTCTCATAGCCAGTTAGCCTGGAGGTCAATTCACCCCCACTATTGCCGACAACAATCAAGGCTTAACTACAACAAGACTGCGTACAAAGACCACTAGGGGGTGCACCAAGAAAGCATAAAAAATGCGGAGACAAAGAAACAGGACAAAATTGTCAATGGAGGATATTCAGTTCAGAACCACACTTTTAAGGTCTCTCAAGAACTGTCTAGAAGCCGCCGACAAATGTAGTGAGATCCTCAAGAAATCTAATGAGACACTCGATGTTGTGATAAAGAACCAACTAGAAATTAAGCATACACTGACTGAAATAAAGAATATTATACAGACACCCAACAGCAGACCAGAGGAGCGCAAGAATCAAGTCAAAGATTCAAAATGCGAAGAAGCAAAAAACACCCAACTGGAAAAGCAAAATGAAAAAAGAATCCGAAATTACGAAGATAGTGTAAGGAGCCTCTGGGACAGCTTCAAGCGTACCAACATCAGAATTATAGGGGTGCCAGAAGATGAGAGAGAGCAAGATATTGAAAACCTATTTGAAGAAATAATGACAGAAAACTTCCCCTACCTGGTGAGAGAAATAGACTTACAGGTCCAGGAAGCGCAGAGAACCCCAAACAAAAGGAATCCAAAGAGGACCACACCAAGACACATCATAATTAAAATGCCAAGAGCAAAAGACAAAGAGAGAATCTTAAAAGCAGCAAGAGAAAGAAACTCAGTTACCTACAAGAGAAAACCCATACGACTGTCAGCTGATTTCTCAACAGAAACTTTGCAGGCCAGAAAGGAATGGCAAGAAATATTCAAAGTGATGAATACCAAGAACCTACAACCAAGATTACTTTATCCAGCAAAGCTATCATTCAGAACTGAAGGTCAGATAAAGAGCTTCACATATAAGGAAAAGCTAAAGGAGTTCATCACCACCAAACCAGTATTATATGAAATGCTGAAAGGTATCCTTTAAGAGGAAGAAGAAGAAAAAGGTAAAGATACAAATTATGAACAACAAACATGCATCTATCAACAAGTGAATCTAAGAATCAAGTGAATAAATAATGTGGTGATCATAATAGAATCAGGGACATAGAAAGGGAATGGACTGACTATTCTTGGGGGGGAAAGGGGTGTGGGAGATGCGGGAAGAGACTGGACAAAAATCGTGCATCTATGGATGAGGACAGTGGGTGGGGAGTGAGGGCAGAGGGTGGGGCGGGAACTGGGAGGAGGGGAGTTATGGGGGGAAAAACGAGGAACAAATGTAATAATCTGAACAATAAAGATTTAATTTAAGAAAAAAAGAAGAAAAAAAAAGGAGGCTGAGTGTCCAAATGATCCTGCTCTATGTATGATGGATCTCTTCTAGCTGTGTTTCATCTATATCAATGCTATGAAATGTTTATTATTCATTCATCCAGCAAATGCAATCTTCAAACTTGTAGTGGTAGAATCGGACTCTGCTTGAGGTTCCAGGGATGCAGCAGTGAGATACAGTGAGAGCCAGATCGGCAAAGCTGTTTATGATTCAGGTGGGGGTCAGAGATAAGAAGGGCACAGCCGTAACAAGAGTGTGGAGCAGGGAGGAATAATTTAATGACCCAAATTTGTATCCTTCAAACATGCAAGGCTTTTGAAGTCACAACATTCCCATACCTTCCAAATGACAGTTTTCTTCCCCACGTTGGCCTCCTGTGTCAAGGCCTCCTCCATCTCTTTCCTCACAAGTTCCAGGGCCATCTGGAGCTTTACCTGTTTGGGAAGATATGCTGAGACCATTAAGATGCCCTCATTCAGCATCTATCCCGACTAGGTGTGTCAGGCACTGCAAAGACCACCTCAAACAGGCCTTGTGAGCATAGCAATATGTCCAACCTCATTATAACTACATGAAATACAAATACACTTTGTCAATGTGAGACATAATCAAAGGTTTATCTAAAAGTATGTTCATTATGGCATTATTTAAAATAGCAAACCCCCAAAAAAATAAAAAATAAAAAAATAAAATAAAATAGCAAGCCCACAACTAATCAAAATATTAAAAGTAGGAGGTAAGAAAAATATATTTTACATTAACAAGATACAATTAAAATAAGGTGCTTAATAACAAGAATAAGGGGCTTAATAATAAAAAAATGCTCAAAATTCTAAAGTTAATTAAAATAAGTATATTTTATTTAATGTGATACCAATTTTGTAAAATGTGCTTTAAATAATATATAAAAACTAGGCAGAGATCAGTAAAAACATTCAATGGATTAAAAACCGTACCTATTAGTGCCTGGTGAGAAATAATGTTATTCCTAAATCTGTACATGTCAACTTCCAAAAATTATTTACTACTTTGTAATCAGAAAAGTGTTTATTATTATTAGACAACAAGAAACCATGTAAGTTGGTATGTACTCAATGAAAAAGAAATAGAGAATGTTGTAAATCTCACAAGGAGTGGAAAAAATTTAATGAAAACTAAATCTCCTTTCAACCCTAGCCCCTGGTAGAGGTAAACACATATTTTATTTGCAGCGAACACACACAAAGATACACCTACACACAAATTTTAAAACTCTACCCAAAGTCATCCAATAAGCCTCATAAAATAAACTCTTTTCAAAGTCATTAATAACAAGTTATTTCTAAAAAATAATGATAATAAAGTAATGATCATAAACGCAGTTGGATTGATGAAGGATTTAACACGACCAAAATGGCATTCGAATTAGCATTTGAAAGGAATAGAAACATATAGATGGAGAAAAGCTCCCTCCCCTGGAAGAAATTGTGAGCAAAAGCAAGGAGGTGCCTAAGGCCTGGTGTGCTTGGGGACAACCGTGATTCGGCTAGTGTTGCTGCATCTTGGCTGGTGAAGACGACAGCTGTAGAAAGAGAACATGGAGCCCTAACAAGTTGAGACTGATAGGCTAAGATGCTCAGAAGATATTTATTTGGTATTTAATTGAAAGTATTAAAATAGAGAAAACTTCTCTAGAAATATTACACTAGCCATGCTCTGTATGGTGCTTTCTGGATGCAAAGAAGGCAGGAACACTCTGCAGAAGTCTAGTTGGAAAATAGCTGGCATCTGAGTTTTGTAGGTGGCAACCAAAACCAAAGAGAAAACTCAGAGATATTTCTAGGTAAGGCCAGAGGGAAGTGAGGGAATAAACACCCCAAATCTTGATTTAAACAAAACCAAGTTTTAAAAATAAAAGAAAATTTGTACTTTAATTCATTTCATCGTGATGGTATTTCAGATAACATGTCAATATCTTCTTTTGCTAGTAGCTGTTCCAGATGTCAGGAATTTAATTGTGTTCAGAATATGTCCGGGAACTTTTGAAGAGCACTAGGAAGGAGAATTCTATGTACAGAGTTTCACAGATGACCCTTTTGGGGGGCAAGGATTCACGTAGGAGGCACCTCTTCATTAAGGTGCTCACATCCTTAGTCCCCGAATAGGAGTTGAATAAAGACCTGCTTGTGCCCTTAGCTCCTGGATTCCTATTTCAGAGCCCTGCGCCCACTCAGGCGCTACTGAACTAATACTCGAACCCCGGGATTGTGTTGGTAACAGTGTTAATAAGGCGGAGGTAAACATTATGTAAAAGAAGGCGTTGTGCCAATGGTTGCTTTTAGGGAGGTTTTCCGTAAAGTGCACACCTGTAACCAAGCAGCAAGTGGACACCGGAGCTCTAACTGTGGGGCCCAGTTTGCATGGGGGACGGAGCAGAGAAGGGAGTACAGGGCCGGGAGGGCCTGTGGGGGAGGGACCCTGCCCAGCGCTGCTCTGTGCTCCTTAGCAAGGGCCGCCGGGGGTACCACGGAGCAAAGGCAGGACCTTCCCAACCTGAGCGCGCGCTGTGGGAGGGGGACTCGTCTCCCAGGGGGAAGGCCAGGGGCGTGCGGAGGTTGGGGAGAGGGGGCAGTGCGGGCAGGGGCGACGGGGGCGCGGGGCCGAGGGCCAGGGGCACGCAGGGGAGGCGAGGAGGGCGGGGAGGCGCGCGGGGGCGGACACGACGTCCTTGGGAGCAGGCGCTGGCGCCAGGCTGGTCCCTGGGCAGGTCCCCGGACGCCTCCGCGGGGCCGGCCGGGGTCCGAGGGCCCTTCCCGCCCGGCCGGCCGGCAGGTGCGCCGCGAGCACAGCTCACCTGGTGGCGCTGGGCGGCCTCCTGCAGCGGCGCCGTGCGGTGGCCCCTGTGCTCGGGGCCCGCGTCGCACGCCCAGCACAGCGCCGCCTGGTCCTCCTCGCAGAAGAGGCTGAGCTCCTGGCCGTGCCGCGCGCACTGCGGGCCCGCGGGGCTCGCGCCCGGGCCCAGCTGCCGCAGGCCGTCCACCAGGCTGGCCAGCTGCCGGTTGGGGCGGAAGCCCTCCCGCCGGAAGGGGCCGCGGCACTGCGGGCAGGGGAAGAGGCCGCCCTGCTCGCCGGCCGCGCGGTCGCAGAACTCGGAGATGCAGCGCAGGCAGAAGCTGTGGCCGCAGTCCACGCTGACCGGGTCCTGCAGCAAGTCCAGGCACACGGGGCACCGCGCCTCCTCCCGCAGGCGCTGCCCCGCCGACCCCGCGGCCATGCCGGCCGCCCCGCGCGGGCCGTGCGCCCCCCTCCTGTCCGCGCTCGGCGGGCCCTGCGCCCGCTGCCTCCACTATCTCTCTCCGTCCCGTCCGCACGCTCGGGAGGGGCCCTGCCTGAGGAGCGGGCGCAGCACGCGCTTTATCTGCAGGATTGCGTTTGGGAGGCCGGGGAGCCCCTCCCTGTGAAAAGCGACAGCGCACAGGCCCCGGGCTACGCGGTGAATGAACACTCCAGGCCTGGACGCGTCTGACGGGAGCCCCTGACTGTGTGCCGTCCTCTGCTCCTGTTTCCACCTCCCGTGAATCGGGGAAGGGCTGAGAGCCTTCCTTCTGCCATGGTCTGCACCACCCAATAGCCTCCTCAGCCTTACGTGCATAATGACTTCTTAACATCTTTTTTCCAACCTGTCTACCTCCTGTTAATTAGCTCATTGTGTTTTGAAAAATGAGTACGTGAATTGAAGGGGAGACGGATGCCCGAATAGACGTGTGTGACGGTGATGGGTCTGTAGACCAGCAACACTCAGAGCATTTGAATGACTATCCGGTTGGGCTCAGAGAGGGTCCGCAGGCTTGCCAGGGAGGGAGTTAGGGTTGCTGCCCAGCGGATCTCAGAGGTGACAACGCTGGAGGCCAAGAGGTTCCTTGGAGGGACAATCAAGCAGAGGCTGTCAGTGCTGCTGCTCCTGTGACATGGGGGCACTGAGAAAGACAGGGAAGGAGGAAGATGATTCGACAGACAGTATGTGGGCCATCCTGACCCACGATGAGTATGGTGAGGTCATTGGAAGGTAGACATCTGCCATTGAACAAAATGTAATTTGCATTTTGTTGATTTTGAAGTGATAGTAGGCATGTCTGCAGCAAACTACCCAATCTGGTAGCCGGGCTCCCAGATGCAAGGTGAGCAGAAGACATGTGGCCCAGCTCTCAAGAGCCCTAATAACTGGAACAAGGAAACTCGCCAGCGCTGCAAGATTGTAACAGGACTGGAAACCAGCCTCTGGGGCCAGGTGGAACCCTGCGCTAGCACCTGAAGAGCAAGCGCAAACCACAGGTGGGAAGGGGTTGGGGGGACAGGTGGCAAGCAGAACAGTGAGAGGGCAGAGTCCAGATGAGCTGCAGAGGCGGGCGCAGGATTTACCCGTTACTCCAGCCCCAGGCAGGCTGGTGTGCGGCCAGATGAGGGTGAGTGAGAGCAGATAAGGTCCCAGTGAGGATCCAGGCCAGATGGCTCAGGTCCTTGTGGCACTGCTCCCGTGACACTTGACCTGGAGCTTTGGCAGAAGGCAGAATCTAAAAGGTCTGAGAGCATCTGCTGAAAGAGTATGTGCATAATGAAATGGATAGATTCTTTGAGAACAGACAGACAGTATGAGCTAAACCTGATGTTAGAAAAGAAAGCAAAAGTACAGAGGGCTCCATGACAGAAAATGTACCCTGACCCTGGGCTGGAGACTTGCTAGCTGAGGGGCTTTAGGGGAGCTGTGTCAACTTTCCATGCCCACTGCCTCTAACACAGTGGTTGTCAACCTGTGGGTCGCGACCCCTTTGGGGGTCGAACGACCCTTTCACAGGGCTCGCCTAAGACCATCGGAAAACACATATATAATTACATATTGTTTTTGTGATTAATCACTATGCTTTAATTATGTTCAATTTGTAGCAATGAAATTGGGGGTCACTACAACATGAGGAACTGTACTTTAAAGGGTAGCGGCATTAGGAAGGTTGAGAACCACTGCTCTAACATGTGAGGACAGTGCTAGTGCCACTCAGGATCCAACAAGCTAATAGATATCACACATTTGACACAAGTCCTGGCACATAAAATGTATATTTAACTAAGAGAGAGAGAACACGTAGCAAAAGGAGTGAAAGAATAGTGAGACAGGGTGTAAGCTATATGAGGACAGAGGGATGTTTTTCTATTTGGTCCAATGCTGTATCCCTAGTACCTTGAGGAGTGACTGGCACATATTACACCCAATAAATAGTAGGTGAATAAATAAGTGAATAAATGAACAGAATCAGTACAGTTTATCCTAGAAGCTAATGAAAGAGAGAATTTCAAAGGTGACCATATGATATCAAATGTGAGATCCATATTTTTCTGCATTTTACATATATGGTCATGCTTTTTATTACCGTGATTCTGGGAGATACTAGAACCTGTTTCTCTTTTATTTGGAGACAAAACAAAGCAACTTATTTGCTCAAATGTATGGACAACTTGATAGCACAGGTCACATGAATGCAGATAGCCTAGTGTCTAGGAAGTGAGAGGAAGTAGCTGGCTCTGTTGAGGGGGGTCACGGTGACTTTCAGGAGGGCAGAGTGGAGGGGTGAGCCAACACCAGATGGCATGTCTCCCGGGTCAGCTCCAGGATCACTCGGCTCTGTTCTGTCTCCAGCGTTGGTAGATAAGGACGGAGGTCTGAGCCACTGTTCTTGGGAAACAAATATCCCTTACCGCCCATCTCTGCAGGCAAGCTGTGGACTCAATGTCATGTATTTACAAATGCTATGTGAAGGGCCACTGGGGCAGTTTCTTGTTTAGTAGGGCTGGTCTAATTTAAACTTCTAATTTCTTATGCTCATTCTTCGGAGTGAATAAAACATTTCTGCATTTGTGCTGGTGTAACCACATTTAGTGCACCCCCTCCCTGATCCTCACCCTGACTTCATCCCCTGACTCACTTGCAGCTTGCATAGCTACCCCACCCCCAGCTGTGTCATTCCTTCTCCACTGGTGTTTCACCTTCTGTGCCGATATGGGCTCCTCCATCCTCTAACCTGACTTCCTGCTCTCCCTTGTTAATGTCTTTGTCACAATGACTTGGGGCTCCTGATACCACTTCCACGGGGCATCCCTGCCTTCTTCCCTAGCTGAGTCCTTTTTACCATGGCCTTAGGTTTAGGGATTCACAGTCTTCTAGCTCAAGCTCAGCTCACTTCACAATGGAGAAAAAAACACAGAGCAGCCAGCATAAACGTCAAAATATCCTCAAAAGCAGCAGCCAACGATGCAGGCTTTCCTTCCTGCGTGTGGTCTTTAAAAGGATCTGTGCTGCTTTTCATTAAAGCAGTTGCACCCTGGATTTTTACTGTTTCTTTTTCCCAGAGACTATGTTGATTCCTTGAGCTAAGGTGGACTAGCATCTGCTCTCACAGCTTCAGCTTTCCCTGGCTGGGCGAGGGGCGCCTGCATCCAGGCACTCTGCATGTCCATGGGAGGAATTCAGAGGACAGAGAGGCCGAGAAGCCTCCTCCTGCCTGAGGGGAAGCAGGGTCTCTGAGACACTGATGGGCGCAGTGGGAGAAATGCCCGGCCTACTTCCCATGCACGGGAGCTTTAATCAGCGCTGTGCATGTCAACACAGATAGGTTTATGTGGTAATGCTGCAGGTGAAGAGTGATTTACATTAATATTTTCTTTTAAGTAATTTAATAAATTCAAAGACAAGAATATATCCTGTTCGTACTTGTATTCCAAACTTGCTTCACTCTGAGCCTGCACAGAGTGAGGGGCCAATGTAGGTTCTGGAATACATTAGCAAATGCAGTGTCCCTTGTGATGGATGATATTGTATTTTTTTAGAATTCCTTTATGTCCAAGGGCAAACTTGGGCAAGATGGTTTTCTATCATCTAAAACCATCCTACAATCAAGTAACTGAATAAAGCTAGTGAAGTAATCAAGACAACTACCACAGATGATAAATCGCCGACCTAGAAATCAACAATTACTCTTTTCAAGACAGCTGCATTCTTTAAATTAGATAATTTGTTGTTATCTTCATAAACCTCCTGGCACATAATTAGGAAGAAATCCATGGAACACACAGAGGAGGTGTGGAAACTTCAGAATGATTAGCCTTTCACACAACGCAAGAGAACATGTCCCCAAAGGTTTCCACCTTCTTTCTCTTGGGTGCATTATGTGATTGGAGAATAGGGATTTGGGCAAGACTTTGTTGAATATACTGGAAAAAACTCAAAATGGATAAAAGATTTCAATATAAGTCACAAAACCATAAAAATCCTTGTAGAAAACATAAGCAGTAAAATCTCAGACATCTCTCGCAGCAATATTTTTGCCTATATGTCTCCACAGGCAAGGGAAACTCAGGAAAAGATAAACAAAAGGGACTACATCAAACTAAAAAGCTTCTGCACAACAAAAGAAACCTTCAACAAAATGAAAAGAGAACCCACTGTATGGGAGAACATATTTGCCATTGATACATCTGATAAGGGGTTAATTTCCAAAATATATAAAGAACTCACACAACTCAACATCAGGAAGACAAAAATAATCCAATTTAAAAATGTGCAGCCCGGCTGGTATGGCTTAGTGGCTGAGCACCCACCCATACAGCAAAAAGTCACAGGTTTAATTCCCGGTCTGTGGGAATTAAATTTAATTTCCTGGTTGTGGCCTTGATCCCAAGTAGGGGGCATGGAGATGGCAGCTGATCGATGTTGATGTTTCTCTCTCATTGACATTTCTATCTCTCTCCCTCTCCCTTCCCCTCTCTCTAAATAAATAAAAACATATTTTTAAAAATGTGCAGAGGACCTGAATAGACACTCCTCCAAAGAGGACATACAGCTGGCCAATAGACATATGAAGAAAATGCTCAATGTCACTAATCATCAGAGAGATATGCAAATTAAAACAACAATGAGGTATCACCGCACACCTGTAAGATGGCCACTATCAATAAATCAACAAACAAGTGCTGGCAAGGATGTGGAGAAAAGGGAACCCTTGTGCACTGCTGGTGGGAATGCAGTTTATTTTTGTGCATCTGTTTATTCTGCAGCCACTGTGGAAGACAGTATGGAATTTCCTCAAAACATTAAAAATGGAACTGTCTTTTGACTCAGCAATACTACTTCTGGTTATATATCATAAGAATCCCGATATGCCAATCAGAAAAAAATATATGCATCACTATGTTTATAGCAACATTGTTTACAAGAGCCAAGATCTGGAAACAGCCCACGTGCCCATCAGCAGATGAGTGGTTAAGAAAGCAATGGTACATTTACACAATGGAATAGTACATGACTATGGGAGAAGGAGGAGGAGGAGGAGGAAGAGGAAGAGGAGGAAGAGGAGGAGGAGGAGGAGGAAGAGGAGGAGGAGGAGGAAGAGGAGGAGGAGGAGGAGGAGGAGGAGGAGGAGGAGGAGGAGGAACTTTTACCCTTTGCAACAGCATGGATGCAATGGACCTGGAGAGTATCATGCTAAGTAAAATTAGCCAGTCAGAGAAAGACAAGTACCATATGATCTCACTAATATGTGGAATCTAGTTAACAAAATAAACTGAAGAACAAAATGGAACCAGAAGCATGGATACAAGGTATAGACTGGCCCATGCCTAAGGGGAGGTGTGTGGGGGTGACTGGCTAAAGAAGGTGAAGGGATTAGCTAAAGAACATACCATATATGCACAGCCCATGGACACAGACAATAGTTTGGTGAAGGCTAAGGGAGGGGGGTGTAGGGATGGGTGGAAGTGGGCAAAGGGTATAGAATAGGGTAACACTTGCAATTATATCAACATTAAAAATTTTAATAAAGAAGTACTGTAAAACTACAGAGCAAGATAATGTTGTTGACCTGGAACTTCATTGCTGAGTTAACAAAATATTTGATTGCGCTGATGTGACAACCCTAACACTTAATAAACAACCATCTGTGAATATTCATTCATAGAGAGGAGAAATCTCTATGTTCACTGGTTGATCTCTTCCCACCCACCCTCCCGTTCCTTCCCTCTGAGGTTCAACAGTCTGTTCATGCTTCTATATTTCTGGGTTTATTTTTTTGCATCAGTTTATTTTGTTCATTAGATTCCACATGTGAATGAGATCATGTAATATTTATCTTTCTCTGACTGACTTATATTGGTTAGCATAATGCTCTCCAGGTCCATCCATACTGTTGCAAGTGGTAGAAGTTCTTTTTTTTTTTATTATTATTGCCATGTAGTATTCTATTTTGCAAATGGACCATGGCTTTTTTGTCCACTCTTCTACTGATGGG